ATTAGGCCGGACGGGAATTTGCTTGTCAAATACCAAAGTACAGAAGAAAGTCAATAGCGAAGATAAACTAGAGGTATCAGCCCTTCGTCATCCACTTTGCATAGTAAGTTGTCAAACGAATCAATTGTTGACCGATCGACGTGACCGAATTTAACAAACAAATTCTTACAAGATCAAGATGAAAAAAGTTGAACATTTTGCATTTTAAAACGCTAATGGCATACAACGGGAAATTTCTTACATTAAAATGATCTCAAAGCCTAATAAACATTTAACCTTATTAGTTTACCCGTTCCTTCTAAATTATTCGAAAAAATAATTTACAAAAAATTAACTCTATTGCTACTTTAAACATCTTACCAGACCATCAATTTGACTTTCGAACCCATCATTCCACTACTCATCAACTTCAAAGAGTTACAGGTTTCATTTACTTCATTGTAACGAGCAGAAACTGTGCGCGACTGGAGTGTTTCTGGATGTTAATCAGGCCTTCGACTAAGTATGGCATGAAGGATTATTTTACAAATTAAATTCACTAGTTTGCGGAGTCCGTTTGACCAATTAATATCTTTAAAAACTTAAGGTTTTTAGTTGAGATAAAAAAGTCAATGTCACGAGCGGGATTCGAACCCACGACCTTCGGCTAGATAAGCCGCTACTCTACCACCTGAGCTGACGTGACTTCGATCTACTCGGACACTAACTTACCATCAATTAGTGAATTGAATAATTTAAAATAAGTTAAAACCATACATTGGTGAATTATCGGAAAAGGTTAGTAAAATTTTTAAGCAAGAAGGTTTAAAAATAGCTTTTAGAAGTATGGGTTCACTTAAAAACATCTTGTCAAAACCTAAACACAAGGTAGACAACTTGGCAAAAAGCGGGGTTTACCAACTCAATTGTAATGATTGTGACGTTAAATATATTACACAAAGCGGTAGAGAAATAAAAACGAGAGTAAAAGAACACTTGCCTAAATCAAGCAAATTTTCGGAACTTAAGGACCATCTAAAAGAAACTAAACATAATTTCAATTCAAATTTAAATACAACAGTATTACATAGTTTCAACAAAGGGAAAGTACTAGACTGGTTTGAGAAATTTGAAATTAAAAAATGTAAAATTGAACATGGTAATAAATGCATTAATAATATAACAAATTTTAAATATGTACATAAATAATATTAAAGTCCAAATAATTAACTTAATTATTTTAATGGTTATTATTTTTATAGTTATTTAATAATATTAAGGTATCATTCTAATTTTCTATCTTTTATCTTTAATCACTAATTTATAATTAATTTCTTACTGCATTTACTATTATAATATTTATTTGTGTTATAATTTCCGCGTTTCGTACGTTCAAATTGAGCGCCATTAAAAAACCAGCTGCTAATTGGAACGTCGCGTTGGCGGGGGTATCAGCTGGTTCACTTTTCCAATTCATGTCGAGAGACATGGTTGTGGAAGTCCTTCAACCTGATGAAAATGGGCTCGTAATCCGGATCGTTGCAAAACGACTTACTGTGAGTAAGAACTATCTTGTTAAAAAGGATTTAGTTTTTACTGCCAAACTTTCGACTTATTACATTTTATTAGGTTTCGTGGTCTGCTTTTTGCCAAATAAACTCTTTTCAAATAATTAAGGTTTTGGTTGAGATAAAAAGAAGGGAATATTTTAAAAAAGTGGGGTTGAGATTGGAACCGAGGGCCGAAGTCACGATAGCTCAAGTGGTACAGCAGCGGCGTATTTAGCTGAAGGTCGTGAGTTCGAATCCCGCTTGTGACACTGACTTTTTTATCTCAACCAAAACCTTAGTTAACTTTCGAAGTATTTTAATACGGAATTCACCTATTAAGTTAGTCTGGATAGACCAATTCACAGTCCTTGGAAACGTTGGGAGAGTCGGTCTTCAAGGAAACTTGGGATCGCCTATAAAATACCTTGATCCAGAGTGTTCGTGAGTGATAAAATGGTCGATATTTATAATACTGAAAATATAAAAATCTAATAAATCATCGGTTTTATGAAACAAAAATGTATTAATCACAGGATAATGCTGAAAAAGATCTACCAAAAAACCTTTGCTAAAATTTCAGTGTAATTTAATATATATTGTTTGGGCTTGGTTGATTCAATATAAAAGATGGTAGTCCAACGAGCGTTTTTCTGTCAAATTAACACTTGTTAATTGCAAATTAGCCCATTATTCAAATTCTTATAGCTTGGTTTTGTTATGAAAGTATGTAAAGTAAAATTCGTCCATACTAGCAATATTTATAATTCAATTAATTTAAGGTTTTAACTTGAGATAAAAAAGTCTGCGGCTGAGATGGAAAGTTAGTGCCCCAGGGGATCGAAGTCACGATGGCTCAAGTGGTAGAGTAGCGGCGTATCAAGCCGAAGGTCGTGGGCTCGAATCCCGCTCGTGACGCTGCCATTTTTATTTCAACTTAAAACCTTAAATTAATTGAATGATATTAATTGATCAAGCGGACCACGAAAAATAGCGAATATTTATAATATAAAATTGGACTCTTAGTAGACCGCATGAAAATGATTTTACGTTTAACATTTTAATATATAAAAAGTTAAGTTTTGTATATAAAATAGTGGGTATTGAAATAAATGGTCAATTAAAAATGAAAAAGAGTTATTTTAGCCTTCTTAATTTCAATTTTTTTTGTGGAGGGGAGGGAGGCTATAAGTTTATTTTACCCATGCTTCAGGCTTCAAGAGAGGCTTTTAATTTCAAAAGAACCCTTTTTATATTCAAATGAAACTTTTGTTTAAAATAACCGTTTTTAACTTCAAATTAAGGGTTTTAATTAATTATATACAATTATTATTTCAATTATAATTTTTTTTCACCTGTTATTTCGTATCAAAACTAATTATATATTTTTTTAAATTCTGCAATTCATTGAAAATGTTTTTATTTTTGTATTTCATATCAGTCCTTGCTCTGAAAAATTTAAAACTTTATAGATTTTAATAACTATTAGCCTGTAAAGAAAATTTCTCTATATTTGCGATTTTTTTAAAGTTTAAAAAAATTATACTCTTAGAAGACCGTATGAAAATTATTTACGATTAAAATTAAAANTATATCCAATGCTGGGGGAAAAAAATCCTACGACTAATATTTATTGTGGTACGAGTGTAGTCTATGTTTAACATAATGTATGAGTCCCTAGTGTATTTAATAAATTAAATAAATAATAAACATAAGTACATATAAAATAAATGTAAATACGTACATAATACATATGCACACACACACACACACACACACACACACACACACACACACACACACACACACACACACACACACACACACACACACACACACACATATATATACCTACATATTTTTATAACAAAACTTAGAATAAATAGGTAGTAATAAATAGGTACATAAATACATGAATAAATAAATAAATAATTTACAAAGAATTAAAATAAATTAATTAATTAAATAACTAAGTTAGGCGTTAATAAATTTAAGCCTCGGCTTGAGATCCCATAGGGTTTTGTGTTTGGCTCTGGGTGCACGTTTTTGTCCGATATCTTGAATTAATCTTCTGGCGTTACCAGGACATCTATCAAAAAATCTTTGACAATTTTTTTCTATGAACTCGCGCAGAAATTGCACTCCGGAGTTTGTGAGGAGTTCATCTTGGTTGCTAATGGGTTGTTAGTGCATAACCTTAGGAACTTATTTTGGGTTCTTTGCAGCTTTTTATAATTAGTGTTACAAGGTAAGCCCCAAGTAACGCATGCGTATGTCAACACTGGCCTTACTATGGTTTTGTAGATGAGCTATTTGTTTTGAACGCTCAAGTGGGTCTCTCGACAGAAGAGAGGAAAAAGTATTTTTACATGTGTTTTTCCTTTTTGTATTAGTTCATTGATATGTTCTGTAAACGTTAATTTTGCATCTAGCCAAACACCGAGGTATCTTATTGAGGGAGACCAGTTAATTTCTTCACCATTACGGTGAACTTTACGGTCTGCAGTTGGGCGTTTTTCGTGAAGAGTATGGCTTCAGACTTACTCCTTTTTACACTTATTTTCCACCTCGTAAAGTACCCGATAATCCTCTCCGCTGCCCTGCTCAATCGGTTCACTATAGCACTCACCCTCCATGTTGATGTGTAGAGCGCTGTGTCATCAGCGAACAGGGCCAGTTCAACGCCAGGGGTTTTGGGCATATCATTTATATAAATGAGGAACAGAGTAGGTCCTAGAACAGAGCCTTGTGGTACTCCAACAACAACATTATCAACCCGTGATTCTACGCCTTGAATTGTTATTACAAACTTTCGTCGGGTAATTATATAAAATTAAATATAGAAATTAATCGTGCTTTTATTTCATTTTCATTATAATATAATTTGAACTCAAAAAGGGTTGGTTTGAAGTGAAAAGTGTTAATTAATATTGTTTTACTACAAATTTCTTTCATCATTTTAATTTTTTTTAAAACTTAATTAACCCTTTATACTTTCAAATTAACCTTTTTAATTCCAAGTTAACCAAAGACGCCCGGAATTTTTCTTGAAATACCTACATTTTATATCTCCTTTTCTGAGAGTTGCCTTTTACGTTCGAGTTTAATGTTATAAAGAAAGAGTTAATTAAAAATTAAAAATGGGTAATTAGAAAATAAAAAGGGTGAATTAGAAATTTGAAAAGGTTTAGTTAGAAATTAAAAATCGTTAATTTGAAGTTAAAAGACTAATTGGAAATTGAAAACCTACAAGCCACTGGCTGATCGATAAATTACAATTTTTTTCCGAATAAGAAACGTTTGACTTTTTACTTTCTTAAATATAGTTAACCTTTCTGATTTAAATGTTAATAAACTTTTTAGTCGAATATTGCCTTGTTCGTTGCTATTGAGTATTTCTCTTATTCACTTTTAATAAACTTTTTCTAAAAGCGACCTAAATCACAGACTTAACAATTAGTTGGTTTTTTTCAGGCTCTAACTTACAGAGAGGGTAATCTCGTATCTGGAAAGCTGGAAGCCCTGGTGGAGCATATGGTCCCCACGGCGGATTACTACCCGGACCGGGCGTTCCTCTTCGCCTTCCTCCTTACCTCGCGACTCTTCGTCAAACCTCACGAGCTCCTCGGCCAGATCGCCGCCAGGTGCCAGGAGGACATGCTAAACAGCAGCAAGGTGAGAAATTTGAATATCACACGATAGATCCATGGAATGCGAGTTTGATTAAGAAACCAAAGGTTTTTGACAGTAGGACCATGGTTAAGAAAAAATAAATACGACCTTTCTGTTAAGTTGCTTAGTGGTGATCGTTGGCGATGACATTGTGCTGGTAACTTCCTCCTGGAGAACAAGTTAAATAAAAAACTAGTCGTTTTGTCAAAATTATGACTTTTCCTTCTCGAAGTTGGGATAGTAGGTCATCTCAACAAAAACAACAACCAGTTTTTCTTTCAATCCAAACATTTCGGATTTATTTTAATACTTCCTCAGGTGAGTTAACGCAGTGGTTAAAACAGTTATCGTCAGTCATTAATATTTTGTAACGGTTTATTTTAAAAAAAGAGCCAGTGTGGTACATATTTAAGCCTTTCAAACACCGAACAAACGTTATAATATTTTGAACCTGACTAGATTCTTATCACAACCTATCATGTGACGTTTCAACCTTTTATCAACATCTTATCTCAGACCAACGAATTAACATTAAAAAACCACTGAACAGTTAAAATTACATTTTTCTTAAAAATCCACTTTTAAACAACAATTTTTATTTATTTTATTAACAACATTTAACAATTATTATCACATATTTTATGTTTCCTCCAAAGTTTAAAATTGACTAGATTATTTTCTATTTCTATTTCTATAGATTTTTTAACAAATTAAAATAGCAATCACTTATTATATCACAGCCTTGACGGTAATTAACAGACAGTTTATATATTTTTATGTAAAGGGCCTCCAGGAACTTTCGTTTTTTACTATTTCGTTCCTTTGTATCAATACTAACATCATCACAGAAAAATGTATGACCTTCAACAACTGCATGCTGTGCCAAGGCAGTTTCATTGTTTTCCCTATTTTGCACTGTATATTTATGTTGATAAATTATATTCTCTAGGTATTGTTTGGTTTCACCATAGTATACTTTCTTGCAGTCTTTGCAGTCAATTTTTTATACCAGGCCTGATTGTAGTCCTTTCTCAATTTTATCTTTTAGCTGTGATTAGTACTTTTTAAGTGCATTACTGTTTTGGAAGGCCAACCTAACTAGAGGGAACTTCTTTTCAGACAACTTCTCAACTGTTACAATAACCCTTGGACGTAAGGGAAAGTGACATAGGACATTTCAAAATCATTTTCATCTTTTAGGTTTTCCGAATTTTTGTTTAGGTTTATCTTCCATAGATTGTTATTGTTTATAAATTTATTTACCATTTTTCTCGGGTACCCAATCTTTTTTAAAATTTCCAGAACCAGTGTTTTGTCTTTATTGATAACACCTTTCGACGACAAATTGAAAACTCTTTTTAGTAATCCAATTAGAACATTAACTTTAGTTGACCATGAATGGGAACAACCTGTATTAGCAGGTTCGATGCCCTGGGTTTTGAATACCAACTCGTACTCAGATTTCCATTAACCTTATGTGTTACTTTCACCATAAGTTAAACTGTTGAGGTCAATATAAGAAAACGTCGTTTTGTCAAAGGTGGAAACGAATGATCAAGTACCAAAATGTGGAGCGATTCTGTTCTCAAAGAAGTGCTCTTTGAGATCTAATTAATCGTAATCAGACAACGATTAAGATAAATGGAAATGTCATCCCATGGTCCAAAAAGGTAACCTACTCTGTTCAGAAGACTTCATTTTGGCCCTCAAATAAGGAATAGGATTGCCAAAGCAAAGCTATATATAACAGTTTTGTTCCCATTACCGTCCAAAAAATCAGGGATGTCAATATGCAAAAAGCGCCGTGATTGTGGTTGATAAATCCATGCTATTATAACCATGTCCTATATGGAGTCTCTTCTGCAAACCAAATATGTTAAAAATTCAAAGAAAGCGGAACAACTTTTTAAGGCTAGTGACATCTCCATAAATTGTCCGAAATTTCTCCGATCTACGACACGGTGACAACCCACATCAAATTTTTTTATTTAGATTCACTAATTTCGTGGTCCGCTTGACCAATTAAATCATTACAATTAATTAAGGTTTTTAGTTGAGATGAAAAAAAGTTAATGGCACGAGAGGGATTCGAACCCACGACCTTCGGCTAGATACGCCGCTGCTCTACCACCTGAGCTGTCGTGACCTCGATCCACTCGGACATCAACTCCCCATCTCAACACCACTTTATGAGTTTTCCCTCCTTTTGCCATTTTTTAAATGTCGTATAATCGGTTTGGATTCTCGACGACAATTGAAATGGCGACGGAGAGCCTTAGTGAAGTGTACTTCATTTTAATTAATTAAATTCACTAATTTTGTGGTCCGCTTGACCAATTAAATCATTACAATTAATTAAGGTTTTTAGTCGAGATAAAAAAGTCAATGGCACGAGCGGGATACGAACCCACGATCTTCGGCTAGATACGCCGCTGCTCTACCACCTGAGCTATCGTGACCTCGATCCGCTCGGACATCAACTTCTTATCTTCAAAAAATTCAAAAAGGTGCGGTTGAGATAGGAAGTTGGTGTCCGAGCGGATCGAGGTCACGATAGCTCAAGTGGTAGAGCAGCGGCGTATCTAGCCGAAGATCGTGGGTCCGAATCCCGCTCGCGCCATTGACTTTTTTATCTCGACTAAAAGCCTTAATTAATTATAATATATTAATTGGTCAAGCGGATCACGAAATTAGTGAATTGAATAAAAATATAAGTTTGTTAGTTGGCTACTGACGTGAAAACAAATTACCGTCGACGTCGATATATATATATTTTTAGATGACCCGGCTGAATTTCTCTTGAATCAATGTCGATATTTAAAAAAAGGTGTTTAATATTTTTAGTCAAGTTTCAAATTTTTACCTTTTTTGCGGAAAAGCTATACAGGTTTCCTTAGCCCCATTTCAATTCCAAAATTTCAAATACGACCCTAGACATCCTGTCACATTATTTTAAAAGATGTTTTAAGCTGAAATCAAAGGTGCACTTGGATTTTAAATTGGTCCAAAAATGACAAAACGCATTTCGTTTGCTTCGTTGTTAATTCCAATAATTTACTACTTTACTAAAGTAAACATTAATAGGCTTTATTGTTTGCATTCTGTCATTGTTTGTCCAACGCCTGTTAAAAGAGCAAATCTTAATCCCTGGAAGTAAATAAATTTTACAATAGTACCTTACTTCGTTACATTCAGTATTCCGTTGAAAACGAACCGAAAAACAAATTTTTCCGTCTGACAGCGAGTTGATATGTACGACTGCTTTATTAATAGTGGTTGTATTGCAGTCGAGTTGTACTCCCAGGAATTTCCTGATCGCCACAGAGTAAACCACTAAAACGCTTACTCTAAAGTTTCTTGCAAAAACGTCGATTTGTGAGGCTGAAAAAACGTTTTCCATACAGCCTAATGGTCTGATGAATCCAAGTGAATGGCGTACAAAACTGTTGGAAAAAAATAGCCGTATTATGTATTGTTTATAACAATAATGCATTATATATGTACTTTTATGTACAAAAATACTAACATACAATATATTTGAATGAACAATTTAATTAGAAGATATACTAAACCCGCAAGACTCGTGAGTGTTGTGTTAGTGTTGGTCGTGGGCGCCGTCAAACAGACTAAGCATTAACCATTTAGAGAAATTTCGGTGGTATATTACATCTATATTATACATACTATTACTTTTATTAAATATTATTTTCGCAAAAAAATCAAATAATTTAAGAAAATCTTGGACGAATACTTGCAATGGACGTCCTTTTTGTATGACCCGGTTGAACCAATGACCCTGTCAAAACAGTTATGGAAAAAAAATTGAAACGTCATTTGGTTTGCTATTTATTATTCGCATTTCATGTTAAAATTGCCTCCTTTCCGTAAAGAAGCGAAAATTTGCTGGTTTTAACCACTCTTCATTGGTGCTCAGAGCGATAGAGCCAGGGGAGGTGGATTGACAAGCGTTTTCTATCCTTTGTCGCAGTTCTTCCATTGAGGAACTTTTTAATGGGCCCACAGAAAATCGTCAAGGGGACTTAAATCTGGTGACTGAGGTGATCTAACGTTCCTTGCACAAATGTCGATTTGTGAGGGTGAAGAAAACGTCATTCCTTACATCCTGTGGACTGATAAATTGAAGTTAACATCTAAAAGCGTGTTAAACCGTTGGACAAAACTAACAGTTTTATATATTGTATATTACAATAAAGCATTATATATTGATGTATAAAAAATTCTAACAAAAATAGATTTCACTGAACATTTTAATTCGAAAACATACTAAACCCGCACGACGTGTGATTTCGGTGGTAGATTATATATATATATNATAATATTTTTGAAAAAAAATTAAATAAGTTAAAAAAATCTTGGACGAATACGTACACAGGATGTCTTTGTTAGAAGCCCGGTTGAATTTCTCTTAAAACAACGACGGTATCAAAACAGTTATGGCAAAAAGTTTGAAAAAAAGTCCTTTGGTTTGCTATTTATTAATCATATTTCATGTTCAAACTGGCTTCCTTGCGAAAAGATTAATAGATTTGCTCTTTTTAACCACATCGTTGGAATTTTCGAACGTGTGCTAAGGAAAATCCGAGAATTTCGTACTCTTGTCATCATCAGGTGGTTCACCCGTTTTTCATTATTCCCTTTTTATCTATATATTTAATTATAATATTTTGTACGTATTTACCTATGTATGTATAAATTATTTAATTTTGTTATTTATAAGTTATGTGGTTTCCTTTTAAATAATCGAATGTGACATAGTCATAGAGGTTATAAAACGTAGCTGACTTTCGCACTTCCATTTAAAAGAGTCAGGATGTATATTGTGATGTTATAATAATTAAGGTGTTAATAAGTGTTTTATTATTATAAAAAGACCTAAGAAAGATACTTCCTGAAAAAGTCAACTTTTGGACAAAAATAATGAAACTTATGTAATACTTTGTAATAAATTAAGGATTTAAGTGGGTAACTAATGTTTGTAATGC